TTATGTTTGTAGATTCTAATGTCTTCCATCTGATTGATCTAAGGCATCTTGAACATAATTAGGCATATGCTATTCCTTTATCCTTTCTCACCCAAGTATTTTACATCAATGAAATGGAAAATGTAATTAGTTTATTAAATGCCTGCCTTTTCTCTGTTTGGCAGTCTGGTCTTGATCCTAATCAAGTGGATTACGTAAATGCACATGCTACATCTACTCCTTTGGGTAAGTCTAATTTACCAATAATGCTTCATTCTAAAAACTTCAAGAAACCTCAGTGTTATGATGCTGCAAGTTGAGTAAACATGTTTAAATAACTCATTCAGGTGATGCCGTGGAAGCCAAAGCAATTCAATCTTTATTTTCCAGTCACGCAGTATCGGGTGCTTTGGCCTTGTCCTCCACTAAGGTAACCTCAGTTGTCCTATAAGTGTGCATCTTTTTATAGGACTAGTAAGACGCACGTGCAATGCACGTGATATGATTTAATCGAGTATGCAATAGCGTAGATATAGGAAAAAAAATATTTGTTTTAGTATTGAAAACATTTGATATACTAAGATAAAGCTTAAAATAATAATGTAATGTGTAAATAAATGGTGATTTCTACATTCAAAAGCTAAATTTAATACCTAGACCGCTAGACGAATGTTATTTTCCTTTGAAAGGAATATGTTAGATAGCTGGGGAAAAAAAGGAAAAAAAAAAAGAAGTTAGAAAAGATCAAGTCAACAAATTGCCTCTTCATTGTATGATGATGACTATAAAAATCAAACCTTCAGATCCCTATTGAGGACTCGATTGGAATGCAGATAGTCAATGGCTAATAACAACTAAGTCATCCATTTGCAGATTTTCTGTGAAACAAAAACAAGGACGTTGCAAGCTAGGTATAAGTTAGCTAAACATTTAAGAGGTATTCCTTTACATGAATTTCTATCTCATTACCTCTGGAAAATATGCTTCTCTTGCCTTCCTTATGATCTCAGACCTGCACAAATAGAAGAAAGAAATATTAACATCCTCCAATGCAATTATATCCAAGGAGTGGATAATATTTTTATTTTCACCTTTTCGTTTTTTATTGTTAATATATACAATATCAACATCCTTTAATGAATCTATAATGGAGGAAGTTCTGTTAATCTTCATTCTCAAGATAGCAGCATAATTCCCTGAATGTTCAACAAATGACTTGTTTGATTGCAAATTTTATAGGTTATGGAGACAAAGTATCAATTCTCTTGACAAAAACCAGTAGTTTGAGTTAATATTGACTACTTACATGTCTCCACTTTCACAATAGTTGGTCACGAAGCATATACAATTTCCCTGAAGAATGGGGCAATGAACGGTTTTATTAAGAATCAACTTCAGCTATAGACTCTTGACAAATAAAAGCAATTTGTTGTAGCTATCAATCATGAACATACAGTTGAAGAAACTATACGATACCTTGTCCACCCAGGCATCTTTATATTCAACAATATATGGATGTAGTAGTTTCGCAATCAAATTCATCTGCAACAGAGACAAACAAATTTTATTCTATTTAATGTCGGAAAATGGATTTTCCATCATTTATCTCTTTTCATCTACCCAATCCAGTCCGAAAATACCCTCTTTACTCTATTCTGGAGCATGGAATTAGACAAGTAAAAAAATTTCAACAAGAATTTGAAAATAATTGTCAAGAAATAAACTCCTTTGAATTTGATAACAAGGACAGAGATAGTTTCGGGTGAATGATCATGTTTATGCTTTTACTTGTACTTTTCTAGGTAAAGAATAAGCTATCAGGGTGTCTCTCTTCTGTAGGTATTAGAAAATAATTGCTCATGCTGAAAATGAATTTATTTACTCAATGAATAGACCTTGTCATTTATATTCTGCGTCAGAAACTTTCCTCGGAAAATCAGAATGTTGAAATCATCAACTTCCAGTCTGCCGTGATTATTCAATTGAGTCAGGGAAATAAATTCTTTCCGTATTCTAGATGTACAAGGAGTATTACTTGTCAAAAAAAAAAGATGTACAAGGAGTATTAAGCTCATGGAACTAAGTTAAATGTAGCCAAGAATACGTACAACACATTGATAAGACTACAAAAATTGAAAAATCAGGGGCAGGTTAAAAGTTGTATGTAATGATATTAAATACTTTTTTTTTGTTATTATTTTTTTAATAAAGGAGGTAGTACCTCCAGGCATAAAATACTATAATCCATACAAATTGGTGTATCGACAAGATGTATTTAAAAAGCAAAAGGATAGCAATAATATTGTCTGTTGTATATGATGAAAACATATGAGACTCAAAACACAGAGAACAATGATATAATTACTAACATGAAAAAAAAAGATTGCATATTGATTACATATAGAATTTTGCTAAAGTGCCATCCCCTTTGACATAGGGGATGACACTTTAGCCAAATGGCACCCCTCTATTGTGGGGGGGACATAGGGGACGACACTTTAGCCTGGTGGGCCAATAGGGCGATGCCATTTGGCATTTATGTCAAATAAGGCGTCAAAGGGGAGGCACCAAAGCATTGTCCTTTTTTTTGAAAGGTAATCAAATATTTTATTAATCAAAGAATAATACACGGGTAGTGTATCATTACTTTAAACCAGAAAGAAACAAAATAAAGTTAGGCAGCCCATCTATATGACTAACAGCATCGACATTAAACCAATTTTACAATATCAAATAAAACAACTTCCTAATCTGCTCTATTGTTCTTGTTTGATCTTCAAAATATCGGTTGTTTCTCTATCCTCAAACTCGATACTATACAACCCAGAATAAGGTTCCACACAAGCTTGCTATCCTTATCTCGAAACTTTCTTTGAAATGCATTTAACACGTCTTCCATATGCCTCGGCAATACTCAGTCCATGTGTTGAGACACCAGAACATCGTTCTATAGCAAACGAGCAGCATCACGATAAAGGAATAGGTGGTTAATCGTCTCCCTATCCCTCCTACACATATAGCACCACTCCGTAACATAAAAACCCCTTTTTCGAAGATTATCCATCATTAGCACCTATTCCCTAACAATCGTCCAAAGTAAAAATGCCACCCTTGGAGGCACTTTACATTTCCAAACCATCTTTCAAGGGAATGAACTCACCACAGATCCCAATAAGGATCTAAAATAAGTGCCAACTGAAAAGGTACCGTCCCGTGTCAGCGTCCACCTACTACGATCACCTTCACCAACCCTGATGTGCACCTTATACAAAGATATCAGGAGCAATGCATAATCATCCACTTCCCAATCCTGCAAACCCCGCCTAAAAACAATGTTCCAACTAGGTAATATCTAGAACCTCATTCACCATGGTAGTTGGTTCCAAAGCAATACGATACAAAGAGGGAAATCTCTTCCTAAGTGGTTCCCCACACCAACAATCATCCCAAAAATTAATAGTATTAGGGTAATTAGCAGAAAAGGTCCTTAACGTTTATATTCATTGCTAAAATAGTTCATATCATTTTAAATTTGATATTTATACCCTTATTTCAAAGATTTGTTGCGGAATTGGTCCTTTCTGTTAAATTCCGTTAAATCCACGTTAATGGAGCAATTTTTGGTTTTGAATTTTTCTTATTTTTGTCTCAATTTTGCAGGCTTATTACGGGATGTCAAAAGAAGTCTAAATATTACATTCTTAATACCATTTCAAAGTGCTTAAAACCTAATTTTCCCCATCCCTAACGCGTGTGAAATGGCCAACCATAGCGAAAGTTACCACTCGTCGAAGTAGGCCGTTCCAATATATATAAACGATTTTTCTTACTTCTCTCTCAATTTTACGGGATTATTACGGGATGTCAAACGAAATCGAAGTATTGCATTCTTAATATCATTTTGAAGTGCTCACGACCTAGTTTCCCCCATCCCTAACGGAGTGCGAAACGGCCAACCGTAGCGAAAGTTACCACTCGTCGAAGCAGGTCGCTCCAAAGTATATAAATGATTTTTCTTATTTTTGTCTCAATTTTGCTCGATTGTTACAGGATGTCAAACGAAATTGAAATATTGCATTCTTAATTTCATTTCGAAGTGCTCACGACCTAGTTTCCCATACCCTAACGGCGTGCGAAATGACTAACCGTAGCAAAAGTTACCACTCGTCGATGTAGGCTGTTTCAAAATGTATAAACGCTTTTTCTTATTTTTGTCTCAATTTTGGAACGTACTTCGACGAATGGTAACTTTGGCTATGGTAGGTCATTTCATACGCCGTTAGAAATGGAGGAAAATAGGTCATGAGCATTTCGAAATGGTATTAAGAATGCAATATTGCGACTTCGTTTGACATCCTATAATAATCCCACAAAATTAAGAAGAAAATAAGGAAAATGGTTTATATATTTTGGAAAGTCCTACTTCGACGAGTGGTACTTTCGCCACGGTTAGCCGTTTCGCACGCCGTTAGGGATGGGAGAAACTAGGTCATGAGCACTTCGAAATGGTATTAAAAATGTAATATTTCGACTTCGTTTGACTTCCCGTAATAATCCCGCAAAATGGAGACAAAATAAGAAAAATTCAAAACCAAAAGTTGCTCCATTAACGTGGATTTAACGGAAATGACCAATTCCGCAACAAAGGTTTGAAATAAGGGTACACATATCAAATTTAAAACGATAGGGACTATTTTAGCAGTGAATGTAAACGTTAGGGACCTTTTCTGCTAATTACCCATAATATTACCATTCCCCACCACAAAATTCAATCTATCCCGAAGATCGCTCCACCATCGCCTAATATACCGTTACAAACTCACCCCATGAGAACCACGGCGCTCGACTGAGCACCATCCCCCCTCCAAAACACCATATTTCGCCCTTATAATTTCTCTCCCAAAACTCTCAATCTCCACTCCGAATCGCTATAACCACTTGCCCAACAAGGCTTTATTAAACAAAATAAGACTCCTTAATCCAAGACCCTCCACCCTTATATGAGAACAAACTGCAGCCCAATTAACCAAATGTAATTTCTTCTCCTCCCCCAATCCTCTCCAGAGAAATTCCCTTTTGATCCTCTCTAACATTTTTGCCACTGCAACAGGAATAGGAAACAATGACAAAAAATACGTCGGGAGGTTTGACAAAGTGGACTTAATTAGAGTAAGAAGACCACCCTTTGAAAGATACATACGCTTCCACCCCGCAAGCCTTCTCTCAACTCTTTCCACAGTACTGTTCCAAATATGAATACTTTTGAATCGTGCTCCAAGAGGAAGCCCAAGATATGACATAGGCAATTGTGCAACCCTGCAACCCAAAATAGCAGCCAACTCCTCCACATTCTCGACCTCTCCCACTGTGATCGCCTCAGATTTTCCTAGATTAATCTTCAAACCAGATACAGCTTCAAAGCACAGAAGCAAACGACGTAGGTTCCTGAATTGCTCAACACCTGCATCGCAAAAGATTAACGTATCATCTGCAAACAACAAGTGAAAAACCTGCAGTTGATCAATCAAAAGCCCTTTAATAATCTCTCCCCCACAATCCTTTCAAGCATCCTACTGAAAACCTCCATCACAATAACAAAGAGCTGTGGAGACAAAGGATCCCATTGCCTCAATCCTCTACTACTCCTGAAATAACCCTCGAGGGTGCCATTCACCATGACTGAGAAAGAAACTGTAGAGATACAAATTAGATCCACTTGCACCACTTATCCCTGAAACCACATACCTGCGGGAGATAAAAGAAATATGATCAAATGTTTATGTAGAGACTTACATACTTTAAATTGAAGACTTGGGCATGTGGGACGATTAGTAATAAGATAACAATAAGTGCCCGACACAGCAGCTTCTTGAAAAGTTGAGGAAAAAAAGGACAAATAAGATTCACTTGGTTAACCCGAGTGAACAAAAGATACAGCGACATGTACTCTCATTAAAATATAAAGGTAACTTGGCCTAGTTGAACTGAAGAAACAAATCCTATGGATATCATGGAATTACTTGGCTCAGTTACATACCGTATGAATAGGCTTAAGAAACCCCAATGTGGCTTCTCGATTTCTTGATCAAGAGAAATATAAACAATAAAAACATATTTCACAATGTATGTCATTAAATTGAGAGATCATCTCAGCTTCTAGAAGAATTTGTGGATTAGCAATGTGCCAGACCATATGATGTCCTCCTATCTACGTTGTGCTATCAAATGTGTGTAGCCCAATGGATTGATCATTGAAGTTACATAGCTTTTTCTACAAACAAAAATTAATTGCACAATTCTTGATTTTGAACAAATGCCCAGAAACAATCCTTCAACAATAATATAACGAAGGGCACATTTTTTAGAATTTCTAAATAATGTAAACAATCTCGTGTCCAAATCCCTCCAGTAAATTTCAGTAATTGTGTATTACAACCCTAACAATGTTATTGCGCTGACATCAGTCTTCTAAAACTAAACAGTCACACAAAACTAGATCTTGGGCATGCACAGCCACCAAATAAGCTTTGAAAAAGAAATTCTTCTGTTTCTCCAATTTGTGAAGAACGAGAAATGCAGCTCCAAAAGCACCTCTTCCAATTTGCTCTATTACTTCATAATCTTCCATCTTGGACTTGGAATCTCCATTTTCCGTCTCCATTTTACCCTTCAAAGCCTAAATTTAGATGGGTCACTCTATTTTGAGTTAAAGATTTAACATTTATGCAGAAAGAATCAGTTATTGAACCCACCAAACTCCGATTGAAGAAGCAACTTCAGATTCTACAATAAAATCCCTGCAAGAAACCAAGAAAACCCCAAAATATTGGGTTTGCATAGTATTTATCAAGCAGAAATCCCTTTAAAAGTTAGGTTCTTGAAATTCTTGAAGTAATTTGAGGCCTTGAAAAGAAGTTGTAAAGTTACATTCCACAATTATGCGGTAGCGGCGATTGAGGAAGAGAGCAAAAAAATAGAAAAGAGAGAAGAGAAAGAAGACCAACATGGTTGTTGAGTGTGAAATGGAGTGAAGAGGCAGAGAGAAAATGTCAGAAAGAGAAGAAATGGTTGCATGAAGATCAGACAATGCATTATCAAATTATCAAATGTCTCGGCTATAAAACGGCTCACTCAACTCGGCTTAGATGGCCAAATGGCTTGTGAATAGTGAAAAGAAAACTCGCTCTTTTATGTATGTAGGAAAAGGAAAATTTAGGGAAAATTTGCATAATAATACATTGTTACACAGAACATGGAACAAATTTTTTTCCTATCAGCAAGACAAATCAATGAGGACAATAGCTTTCTTTTCTACCCTACTTTTGTCAATTCATATTAGTGTTGAACATTGTCATTCTGTTATGACAACATTGAATCAAATCTGTATTTTCCTGGTGACACTGCCACAGGGTGCTATCGGACATCTTCTTGGAGCAGCTGGAGCTGTTGAAGCAATCTTTTCTATATTAGCCATACACCATGTAAGAAAATTTATTTTGAGGTGCAATGTATTGCAGTCTTGCCAAGTTATTTATAATTCTATAGCTTTCGAAGGTTTGAGTCTAAAAGTTTCGAGTTCCAAAGAATCTGCAAATATTTGGTCTTCCGTATTTGACGTCTTAATTTACTTAATAAAGTTGGTTAGGAGTATCACAGTATCTTATTATATAAAGTCTACTTCGAGGTTTTAAAAGGCCTGGGATTACTTTTGTATGCTTTCATTCACAGCTATATATATGAATATCTGGAATGTAAAGCTTATATGAAGTTTTATGCTGGCTTTGAGACCATTCCACACTTATCATTTGAGCACTGAGGACTTGCAATGTAAGACTACACACAACAAAGACAGAGATTCTTTAAATCAACTTACATTTATTTTCCTTTTTGAGTTGTTTTCATGTTATATCTAGATTGTTTTATATTTGCTAGTAATTATTCAGTTGTCACATAGCTCTGTTTGGTACACATTATTTTTTTCATTCTCATTTTCAACCACACATTTTTCAATAAAATAATATTTTCCATCACATCAATAACTTTTCTTTCGTTTTCAACCACACATTTTCCATCAATTTACTATTCTATAATACATTCTTTCAAAATAATGTGGCTCAAACACACCCATAATATAGATTTATTGACATTATCCTGCATGAAACCTTATTCTCAATGTTGAATCACTTTATCTAAAAGTGTAAGTTTTCATGTATGTTATTCTAAAATTGTCTTCAACAGCTAACTTATGTGTAGGCAGGATTTATATTTTTCCATCAAAGCCTTAGACATGCACAATTTCATTTAAATGGGTGGTGGCGAGATTTGAATTCAACACTTTTGTCTGCTCTGTAGCATGTTGAACTACTTAATATAAAAGCTTAAATTGTTAGACGGGACAACATTTATATCATTTATCTTCAACGCTCCATATTTTAGGAGCCAGCTGCATGCAACCTCTTTTCAGTGTACACTTTGATCCAAAGGTACCTCTTTCAACGGTTCAATTCTTTTGTTATCACGGAACTTGTATAAACTGTTGAATGTCTTGATTATGTCAGCCGCTGCACGGGAGTTGACAGTATGTACACATATTGAGATTTTTTCCTCAAAACTAGGAAAGAAACAACAGTATTATTGGTTTTTGGGACAACTTTTAACATATATCTAATCTGGCAGATTCATGAACAGAATTGTATGCTGTCAACTGTTCTCCAATTAAGTGAAATTTTGAAGTGTTATTCCATAAGAGTATTTCTGAATGTGGATAGCGTGATAAAATTACGTGAAAATCCTATATGGCATCAAACATTTCTTTCTAGCAGATGATTTGGCGGAGTATTGCTTCAGATTTGGCATATTGTAATTTATGAGAATTCTCTGTTAGATTTTCCATTGGCTTATGCACATATTTCATGGCAGGGAGTCGCACCCTTAACGCTTAATCTCACAAAACCAGATCCTGTGTTCAATGGCAGTTTCATGCCTTTGACTGCTTCAAAGAGGATGACTATTAGAGCAGCTCTTTCAAACTCTTTTGGCTTTGGAGGAACAAATGCGTCCTTGCTGTTTGCTTCCATCTCTTGAAGACATGAATTGTTTCAAATACTTGTAGGCATAACGTTCAGCTAGAGGACGCGTATAAGTCCCAAAGCGAACATGTAGAGTATGCTTTCCTCTAAACAAGTATCAGAAGAGGTTTTCCTCTCATTTTCTACATGATGTTGATTCGTATTCTTTGGCACTTTTTGGTTTGTTATCTATCTTTTAATTGTTTTTATATGTATTAATGCAGTGGCTAAGACTAATGATTAGAGAATCGCCCATTTTCTTTTTTAAAAAAAAATAGAAAAGAAAGGAAAATTGTGACAGTTATATTGCTTGAGACATGGTGCTTGTTGGAAGTTTATTGTGCAAATCACTCGTGTGTGTTTTTTTTTTTTTTTTGCATGCCTAAGGGTTTCAAATCATCCTCCTTTTACGACATGTCTATGTCTCTTGTTTAAATAGTGACAAACTTTTCCAAACTTGGCCATGTTGATGGAAATCAAGTGACGTGTAATGGTAATGTGGACATGTTTCAAGGAAATAAGAAGCTTGTTTTCTAAAGGGTATGTGGAGTAGCTGTACATTCAACGAAATGTCAATTGGATTGTTATACTTTAATTTTTCTTAATTGGTTGCTGAACTTTAATTTAGTTATTATTATTTTTTTATTTCACCATTTTGTTACATTCGGTCACCAATCACCTCGAAATTGACACAAATTAGATATTGCTTAATTGAAAATCATATCAAAATTATTTTCTAAGTAATTGCTATTTAGCACCTAAGAAAGGAAAGTGAGGAGGATTATTGAAATGTTTTTAGATTACGGGGTTGATATGTAAGTTTTTAAACTCCTTTATGATGTGGCATAGTGGTAAATTGATATTTTATGATGATTAAATAAAAGAACCATTGTAGTATTACTGTTGTTGAGTAATTTCATCAATTTGAGAGGCGTCATCTGATGAAGTGATGAAAATTAGAACTTAAATTAAAGTTCGGTGACAAGGTTTGAAACTAAAAGTGAAATTAACTGATCCAAAAATTTGGGGAAAATTGAGATTTTGCTGAAATTTTTTTCTCTGTTCTCTCTCTCTCTTTATTATTATTATTATTATTATTATTTATTATTTATTATTTATTTTTATTTATGAGTTAATATTTTGAAACTTGTGTTTAAAGCAAGTTGTTCCCAGAACCACACAAGCTCACCCACCCACATTTTATAGCTAATCTTGGAGGAAATGACTCGAGGAGAAACCGATTTCTTAACAATGATGAGTTGAAATTGGCTTCGTCCTTGCTCCTCGAAAAGAGCCCACTATGGCCTGAGGTTAACAAACCCATATCGGGTAACGGACAGGGTTAGGCACATTGCAAATTGTTAATGTAATAAATATATTAGTTTAAGGGTAGTTGTGTCCTTTATATTTCCTTTGGTTTGTAGGATATTAATACATTTGTATCGTTATATTTTGCCCTAATTTTGGAGGTTCGGATACTTGGTTTTCTTCCACCATCTCTTCCTTTCTCTCTTTCTTGTTGGATCTATAGAATTGGTTTGTATCTTCCACATGGTATCAGAGCCAATAAGAGCACCAAAAGCACCACGGTAATAAGCAGAAGATGCGGCCCTGAATCACTCTTGGCCGGTGGTTTCCCAAATCACTCCATTTGTGGCCTTTGAATGTATGTTGAGCTCGTTTCTGGCATTGTGCGACAGCTGAATCTCCGATTCTAAATCTGATTTCATTGCCGGCTATCGACCTTCTTGGGCAAAGGTTATATGGGCGGTCTTTGTTGTTGTAAAGGTGTGTGGTTCTAATTTCTTCGTGTGGGCTAGTAGTGAAGGTGTAATGCCCCGAAAATTTTTATAAAGTGGAGTTTAATTTTGTATGCTATCTTATATTGTTTTGATAAGTTAGGGATTAAGATGACACATTTATTAAATTATATTTTTAATTGGGTCGAATATTTAAATATTGATAGAGTAATGATAAATGTAT